TCATGGAGTTAATTAATTAAGCTAAACTTGAGTTGGGTAAAGAAGAAAATGATGATTCAATTAAACCCTCTTCTTCATTAATCAACGTGGCATGAAAATGAAGGGCATATGTATACACAACATGCATCTATATATATATATATATATATATATATATACTGTTCTCTTCTATATTTTCCAATCATGGAGTTAATTAATTAAGCTAAACTTGAGTTGGGTAAAGAAGAAAATGATGAATCAATTAAACCCTCTTATTCACAATTAACGTGGCATGAAAATGAAGGGCATATGTATACACAACATGCATATATATATGTACTGTTCTCTTCTATATTTTCCAATCTTGAAGTTAATTAATTAAGCTAAACTTGAGTTGGGTAAAGAAGAAAATGATGATTCAATTAAACCCTCTTCTCCATAATCAACGTTGAATGGAAATGAAGGGCATATACACATGTACATACACAGCATGCATATATATATACTGTTCTCTTCTATATTTTCCAATCATGGAGTTAATTAATTAAGCTAAACTTGAGTTGGGTAAAGAAGAAAATGATGAATCAATTAAACCCTCTTATTCACAATTAACGTGGCATGAAAATGAAGGGCATATGTATACACAACATGCATATATATATGTACTGTTCTCTTCTATATTTTCCAATCTTGAAGTTAATTAATTAAGCTAAACTTGAGTTGGGTAAAGAAGAAAATGATGATTCAATTAAACCCTCTTCTCCATAATCAACGTTGAATGGAAATGAAGGGCATATACACATGTACATACACAGCATGCATATATATATATACTGTTCTCTTCTATATTTTCCAATCATGGAGTTAATTAATTAAGCTAAACTTGAGTTGGGTAAAGAAGAAAATGATGAATCAATTAAACCCTCTTATTCACAATTAACGTGGCATGAAAATGAAGGGCATATGTATACACAACATGCATATATATATGTACTGTTCTCTTCTATATTTTCCAATCTTGAAGTTAATTAATTAAGCTAAACTTGAGTTGGGTAAAGAAGAAAATGATGATTCAATTAAACCCTCTTCTCCATAATCAACGTTGAATGGAAATGAAGGGCATATACACATGTACATACACAGCATGCATATATATATATACTGTTCTCTTCTATATTTTCCAATCATGGAGTTAATTAATTAAGCTAAACTTGAGTTGGGTAAAGAAGAAAATGATGAATCAATTAAACCCTCTTATTCACAATTAACGTGGCATGAAAATGAAGGGCATATGTATACACAACATGCATATATATATGTACTGTTCTCTTCTATATTTTCCAATCTTGAAGTTAATTAATTAAGCTAAACTTGAGTTGGGTAAAGAAGAAAATGATGATTCAATTAAACCCTCTTCTTCATTAATTAACGTTGTATGAAAATGAAAGGCATATATATATATATATATAATCTTCTCTTCTATATTTTCCAATCATAGAGTTAATTAATTAAGCTAAAGTTGAGTTGGGTATAAGTTGATATCAGCAATTAAATATTAAATTCTTATATTTTTCAAATTTATCATAAAAAAATAAATTAAAATTTGTGGCTTCATAAAATTGGACTCTTCAATTTTATTTACACTCGTTTCCTTCCCATTTGCTTTCGTTTAATCACTTTCGTTTTGTTCTCTTTTGACTATTTTTTCTTCTTTTGTTTTTATTTACATAAATATTATTTTTATTTGAGGCTTAAATTATTTTGAAAAATATCAAAATTATATTTTATTTATTCATTGGATATATATATATATATATACATATATACATATATACATATATGTGTATAAGATAGGGAGTATGTATCGCTACGTGGTCCAACAAAGCCGGAGTGAAAGTAACGTGTCTGATTACAAGGTGACAATGTCATTGAAAATTAACCAATATATATATATATATATTGATGTTGATTTATCTTAAATTCTCTAGTTACCAAGTGTGTATATACGTAAATATATATATATATATATGTGTGTATGTATGTATGTACGTATGTATATTATTGTATATAGATGTTTCTTTTACGAAAGAAAAACTCATTTGCTAATAAGATTCAAGTTACGTGGGTGTTTATTAAATTAAAATGGTAAATTACTAAATTAATTAGTTAAAATTTAATTACATCTATTTTAAAATTATATTTTAAATCTATTTTTAATTAAAAAAACTAAAATAATTATAATGTGTTTTGAAATTCTAAAAAAAAAAAATCCATTTCAAATTATAAAAAAAGCTTATTTTTATACCGAATGAATTTTTTTATTCATTACATAATTTAAAATAAATTATTTTTTAAAACTTTTAAGTATGATTTAATTATTTTAATTTCTTCTATTAAGGAATAAATAGAAATTAACAAAGAAATTAAGAAATTCCCTATATATATAGTAAAAAAATTTCCAATTATAAAGATTTAGAAGATGATAAATTTACCAATCAATATTAATAATTAATTTATATTATTACATATAAAAATGCCGTAATAAATAATTAATATTATAAATTAGGTATGATTTTAGGAGAGTGATTATGGAATTAGGATATGTCTAAAAGTCTCTAAAGATGTAATCAATTACTAAATCACATGCCACGAAGTCCCATAAATGGACCATTTCACTTTCCTATCTACTTAATTTGTGGTGTCAAATACATCAAGGCCCAATATATATATATATATATGTATATGTATATGTGTGTGTGTGTGTATGTATATAATTTTGCATTTGTTGCTTTGAGTTTTCTTTTTCCTACTTCTTTAATGAAATTTTATGATTGCTTATGGATATAAGTACTTTTCCCTATATCTCTCTCTCATTAGTTTTATTATTATTATTATTAAATATTAGAATAGGATAATGTATTAATTTTTTTGCTTTTTAATTATTATACTTATAAAAAATATGCCTACTTATTTATATTCGTTAATTATCATTAATACTATTAGTAAATTTGTCGTATAATCACGAATTAAACACATAACTATTTCTGATTTGATAAATTTTAGCATAAAATATCACGTAATATATAATAATTAAAATGTCACGTAAAAAATAATTAAAATTTTATTATTTTTTTATATTTCATATGAATGATGTAGAAATTTAAGTAATTAGAAATAAATTCGTGCTCAACTTACAACTATATAATAAATTTTTATTTCGAAATTTTCGAATAATAATTTTGAAACTTGAGAAGATTGATGAATGATTTATTTTTTGGCCACCCATTTAGGAAATTCGTAAACTCATTTCTTCCAAAAATAAAATGTATACATCAAATATATATATGTGTGTGTGTGTGTGTGTATATATATATATGTATTATAGTTTCGTCTTTAAATCCTCAAATCCAAAGCCCATTCATGTGGGTCAGACCAACGTGCTACCCACTTAATAAAATGGCCCATTGAATCTCATGCATCCACCTAAAATTATTACATATTCTTTCTACGCGGACAAATATATATATATATATATGTATGTATGTATATGTATTATATTTGATGAAGACTATTTATTGTTTGAATATAAATAAACTAAATATTTGAAAGAGAATTTATTATATATCTTTGTCCTTAGGAAATAGCAATCTATAGTTGAGTCATGCATAAAAAAATGGATACATATAAATATATGTATATGTATATGTATATGTATATACACATTCAAGAAAATGAATATGGATTAATTGTTGGTCATCGACTCATGCTACCCAATTGGAATCATTCACATCAAAGCTAAAATAATTATTTACATTGAGGAAAAAATATGTAAAAAAAACCAAAAGTGCATGTAAATATGCCTTATAACATATTATTACGCGCATATATATATATATATATGTAGGTGCTAAATTTTAGCTACTTTATTAACCTATAGTTTTGTGTACGGTATAATTTCTGTTTTAGGATCCTTTCTTCATTTTACTTGCTTCAACTTTAGTGGGTCCATGCCGTTGTCTCTGCCCTCTGATCTGTCCTTGCCATGATGTTTCGGTGTCTCCATCATCCCGTCCGTCATCCTCCACCCAATCGTCATCCCTCAACATCGACTGCTGATAGTATCGGAGGGCCACAAACAGCATGAACACTGCACGGTCGGTGCATTGGCGTCACACGATATAATTACCTCACGAATAGAATGAAATTAAATGGAAAACGACGACGTATTGAACAAAAAAAAAACAAAAATTACA